AAGAACTTGTCCCTGCTCAAAAGCAAAACTGATCATAACTGATCATAACATCAGACAATTTTTTTGGCGAAAAAAATCTTTCACTCTAGCGCTTGAAAAACACATTATGTTGAGTGAATCATTTTTTGTTTTGCTTGGTTTCCAGTCGTTGGCATTTTTATCCAAGAACAGAGTGCAGGCAGTGTAAATAGACATTGGGGGGGTCTTCAACTGGAAATCAATCATGGTGGTGACAAAAAAATAGTACTGGCGCATGGGGCAGTAATTTAGTATCATCATTCATTCTCTCTTTTGTGCATCATATTGTGATGTTACCATGGCATCACTTTACAAACTGATGCTGTGCAATTTGATCAATCACAACAAACAAAAAGATTAGCAAAACAAAACAAAGTCAAAACATGATGCACATCAATATTGGAAACGTCATTTTTAGACATAGTCGCAATGTCTAATTCATTCATTTCAACCATCAACCAGGCTACACATTGGTCTTTGAGGTAATGAATGGTGTTTACTTTTCAGGAACAATTAACTAATGGCCGTGATTCATCAAAAGTCAAAAGTCTTACAGTGTAAGCAATAAGCTAACATGCTCAAAAAGACAATGCTAACACAATGATATTGTCATTTGCTGATATACATTTAACGCAATCCGACCACTTGAGTGGAGAGAAAATTTAGACATCAGCAAAGTTTTTACATTTTTTTCTCATCTTGAGGAGGCTTGAACTTGCAAAATACTCAATACATGTGTAGCTATTTCCCTTCACAACCTCATATTGGCACTAGAAGATAGATCATTGGGATTCTTTTTTTTTTCTCCAGACCATAAAATACTTTGTTAAATGTTATGACAATAAATCCAGTAGTTTCGTGATATTTCAGCCTTGGCCACACTGACGGGAGTGATTCAGAGAGGGAGCTTGACGTAGGCCAAGGTCTTAATTAATTAATGTAACACCTTCACTGCTGCGATGTTTATTGATGTGACACTACAGAGAGAGGTGTGAGCTGCTGAAATGCTGCTACAAGTAGTTTAAAAAAGAAAACTTGATGTATCTGTTGCTGATGCGAGGGAGAAAACTGTGATGGGAGGTTTGTTTGTCACTGGTGATGCTCGCTCTGAGGTAGTTATATTTCCTCCCCTCGGTCTGAGACTGACAGCCATTGTGCAGTGTGCTTTGGGTTTGGCGTGCGTGGACAGTGATTGGATGAATGAAAATGGGTTGATTTCGAGTTGCCAGGGCAAAGCTGCACGGCAGGGTTTGTTGAATTTGTGCCGCAGTGAGGAACGTGTATGTAATTAAGACCAGTGGTTCACACAGAGTTTCCCCTTCAATAAACAGGGGTGAAGTCTGTCTGGGGAAGTGTCTGCGTGTGTACGAGCAGGCATGTGATTGGCTGTGTGTGTGCATATATCTGTGACGTATCTGTGGACAGAAGAATGGAAGAAGCCTGTGATCATGAATATCTTATCCCGATTTTTAAGCTGAAACCTGCCACACAGACAAAGATGGACAAAGCGTCTCCACATCCTCCCATTGTAAAAAATGAAGCCAAAATATCCTGGATGCGGTCGCCACCATCTTGCATGTTTGGAGCCAGATTCTGCACAGTATAGTGATTGTGAAGTCACACCATGGTACGAGGTCTCACGCACACAACCAATCAAAAGTCAGTCTCAGCTGTCAATCATGATCCTTCACCTGTAGCAGCCACCAGAGGGTGATTTAAGTGATTTGGCTTCACTTTTATACTGTTTGGACCACAGCATTCTTCTCTCTTAAGGAAAAAAACTAAAATAATGTTTTGTTTTACACACCTTTACTTAAAGCGATGTGACTGTAATGGTGTATTGGACCCCATCATCACATTTCAGACTGCTAAAACATCGCAGGGTATTTATTTTAACCTTTGCCAACTCTAAAAGAAGACAGCTGCAGTTACTGGATTAGCTTTTCTGGCTTGAAATATTCTGCTCTGGGTGCAGCAACATTAAAGGATGTAATGGCCACAAGCTGAATTTATCATCACGCTCCCAGTGGGGCCAAGCCATTGTTGTTCAGTCTTGACCTCTGGACAGACGGGAGCATCCCGCATATATCTCAGTATGGCCTCTGCCTCCATTAAATGCTCATGGAGCGAGGAAGAGAAAACATATTGGTTTGAAATAAAAGCTTTATCATTGAATTATGTGCTCCCTAACCCTGCTTTCCCTCCATGGAGCATTGATTTTGGACATTTATGTTGGCTACATGTGAGAAGTGCTGGGGTGTCGGTGGGAGGATCGAAGACGGTAGAATTATGGGCTTTTACCGGTCCGCTGAGGCATCTCGTCAAAATCTGGTCTGCAGCAGAGAGATCCCTTCTGCTTGAGGAGTATTGAATGCAGGTGTGTGTATATCTGTGGGCAACGTTATGCATTTTGCAAAGCAGTATGAGTCACTTTGTGAATCCCATAKATCATTTGTGAGGAGAGAAACACCGTCAAGCGAGGTTTAACCTAAAAGTTTCTTCAGGGAGAGAAGCGTTCTCAGAGCTTTTTGTCTGAAGTGGGATGAGATGAGATTGAGGCGCTCCCATTGGCACTTGACAGGCGTTGTCATGATATTGCGGGGGAATCAACAACACATATGGGAACGGATCATACATCCGAGCTGTATCATGTGTAGCAAAGCTTGCTCCGCTCTGACTCCGTCGCCATCAGCATCTCACCTGTTACAAAAAATTAATGCGAGGCTGATGCACACGGATAGATGCCTTATGCTCTCGTGACCTACATGTAAAATGGCCTCAGGATTGTACAGCTAATTTTCGAATGGAAGCTAACAGGAATGCTTTTGAGGCCCGCACACTGACAGATGATTTGATTAGCTGTAATTGAGACGTGCCCTAGTCGAAGCTGTTATACCAGTGCTCATCTGCTCCGATTGAAAGAGCTGCAGCTCGAAACTGTGATGTCAAAGCTTCTTCATATCATTAGTAAAGATAATCAAAACAACTTTAAACAGTTTTTTAAAAGGTATTCATTAAGAGTGGCTCATAAAATGAATCATTCGTTCATGCTTTACAATTTAATAACAAGAGCAACATTTGGTTTGCCAAATTGGAAAAATGAATCTGCTTGGCTTGATCCTCCCGCATCCTTATCACAGAAGATGAATCAAAAAGAGTCATATGTGAGTAGAATCTTATCAATACATTATAAAGTATTGATAAATGTTCACAAATCAATCTGATTTACACAGGCATTTGTGGCTTTCAGGAGCTTTTCAAATGTATCACACAATCCTTCCAAGAGTTCGTCCAGCTGACGTGGAACTCAAATCTCTACCTGAGCTGTCTGTGGAAAAGTTGCTTTGTGGGTAATGTCGTCACCAGGGTTTAGCAAGAGGAACGTGTGGCATAAAAAAAGAGGAAATCTCAAATTCTGCTGCATTCATTTTAATTTAGCAATTTTTAATGTGTGACTTATATAACAGCTATAGAAGGGGAGTTGAAGACATGCTGCAGATCCCCTGCATGTTACAAAGATTTTTGTGCTAATTAATGCTGGTGGTGGTTTAGTTTACACTGAGGAATAATGAGTCTTCTTCCAGAGACTTAAAACTGAAAAAAAAAAGTCAAGGACATGAGTCAGACAAGCGATAAATTCTTGCTCTGTTCTCAATACACAGACATTTACTCCAGTCTGTGCACCCAAAGCTATAACAGCAATAGAATGCACTACATTAGTCTCCTCTATAGCTTGTCTTTCCGTATGATGTCTGATCAAGAGAAATCACAAGGAAACATACAGAATGTGAAAATTTGCCCTCATGCATGTCCATCTTTGTTTGTCTTATTTACCTCGCTGTAAAAACTCTCCATGTACACACACACACAAATGGACAAACCATTCCCAGACTCACAGAGCTGTAAACAGCATGTCCCTGTAAAGGGATTATGTTTGGTGCTGAGCAGAACGAGCGCAGACAGGCAGACGGACGGTGTGTCTGTGGCCTACTGATTATCCTACTGCTCGTCTGTCTGCGTTGATCCATTTTCCCCCCTGCGACATGGCCACACCCTCATGCTGCTCTACCGCCACCGCTGCACGTCAGGGTAACAAATGACCGCCCTTCCCTCTGGGAAAGTAGTATGATCATCTGTCCACGCAGCTGGAGGGAAATGTCAGGAAACATGCATTTATCTAGCCAATCAATGTTAGATAGCTGCAGAGAACAGATCTTACAGACGTGACGGCCGCTGACGTGACGTTTTGTCGCCTTATTGTTGGGCTTTTGAAATACAGCTGCCATCAATCATTACAGACTGTTTGGTCAATACAGCTTGTAAGATACAAGCGTGGATGGTTAAGTCGATATTTATAAGTGCAGGTACATGCAATTTGATATGGTGGCCACGTGAGTTTGGCCCCTGTAAGGAGGGATCCATTGGCTCTGTGGGCTTTGTGCAAGCCTGTGGAGCAATCAATGAGTTCAATGAGCAAGCTCCATCAGATTAAGAGCCCTGAGGATATGCTGTTCATACATGATAAGGCTGTGTAAACTGTCCTGTTTCATTTCATCACAATAGCCCCTCTGCCACCACAACCATGGAAATGCCATTTACATGCAGGGGTCTTCAATGTATGGCTGTGGGTGGGCTCACAAAGAAAAGGCTTATCTTGTTTAACCATGGGCCAATAGCACAAGCAGGTTTATTTGCAGCCGTGTAAAAGATGCGCTCCATCTTCTTGGACATACACTCTGCTCTCAATGTGTTGTTTCCTTATGAAGTGATATTGCATTTCATGAGTCACACTCTTTCCCTGCAGATCACAGATCAGACCATTGCGTTTATGGATGCTGGGTTATTGCCTGTGCTGTCCTGAGGGCGTAGAGGACATTTGTTATTACTCCCAAATGTGGCGTAGCATTCTTGCTTATATTGTGTTTAATCGTAGCGTACCCTCTTTCTCTTCTGTCCCTGTCAATGTGTGTGTGCAGCTCGAAAGGCTAAAACGCTCGCTGTCTTTCAAGACCATCATGCGCAGTAAGAGCGTGGAGAACTTCTTCCAGAGATCCTACAGCGACGCCCGCCTGCCGCCGGATTTCATCACCGACCCGCCTCCTCCTTCTCCCCCTCTGCTGCCTGGCTCGCCTCTTGTCGGCGAGCGCTCGCCATCCATCTCGCCATCTCTCAGCCCCAACCCCTCCATCGCCTCACACTCCCCCTCTCTCAGCCTTTCCCCATCGCTGCCCATCAAGCCTCCAAGACCACAGATCACTCACTGTTTTCAAGACCACGTCTTTCGCAAGCCCACCAACTGCCAACACTGCAAGCACATGATAGTGGGTAAGGTGCTCAATACATCCTCCTGTTGTGAAGCCAAGGTTTAGTTTTAGCTGCAGGGTTCAAGAGATTTCTGGCAATTTTCAGAAAACCATTGTATAAAGAGTTTTAAGGCCAACAAGCAACAAGATGAATTGTGACCATAAAACATTTGATTCAGAGCAAAAAACGGAAAAGGCAAAGGTACAAGATAAATCATGGTCTCTCTGTGGTAAATGTTATCTAACGCTGAACCATCAGATCATAGCCGACATGATTGGTGGAAGCAGCGAGTTCCACCAATTAGAGACATTACTATTACACTGAGGATTATGGGAGATGTAGTACTTCTCTTTGACAATGTGAATAAAACTACACAGAACCACACTGTCGAGCTCTATATCCATCAAATATAGGATTAGAGGTTAGTTTAGCTTTGCACAAAGACTGTGACAGGGATCTATGTCTGAAGTTAATGTAGCATAAACATCATAGAATCACTTGTGTGAAACAAACCTCACTGTCTGAGTTTTTCTACTTCATTTATTGAAAATGAGATTCACTCGACTGTTTGACTTCAATGCAGCTCTCACAATGTGTATGGCTGTGAAGAATACATGACATTATTAAGAGGTGCAGATGTACAAGTGCATTTATTCCTCATTTGCTGCATGCTAGTTTTTCTGCCAAATCTACTTCCTGTCACTATGATTAATTACGGACTCCAACCTGCTCCTCTTTATATGCCCATATGCAGGTATTTTTTTTGCATGCTTTGTGGTTTTAGTTATGTAATACATCACCTCGGTCTATCTGCATTCCTCTGCAGTCCCCAAACACTCCAGTCCAGCCTCCGTCTCCTCGTTAGGCTGATGAAGTAGAATCGGTGTTTTTCCAAAGTGAAAGCAGTGTTTCGGTTGCGCCATCCAGTTTAATGCGATTGTTGTTCTAGCTCCACATCAGATCAGTCGGTGTAATCGCATCTCCAACAAATCCAGAAATCTGTTATCCTTTGTGTGTAGGATAAAAAGGGAACTCAACCCCTTAATCCTTACAAAACATTCAACAATCAACAGAGGATTTGTCATTACATGACAAATGAGCAAGCATGAACAACTCTGCGCTCAGAGGCTTTTAATTGCTCAGGCGCTTGAAAACAGAGACGAAAAGGTGAGATGACTCAATGCCAAATCGAATATGATTGAAATATCTCTAGGTTGGTTACCAATCTCTCCAGGACGTTTTTGAGAGGTGCTGTTAGTTATGAAGCCGTTGATATCAGATCAGTGAGCAGCGCGTGCTTGATAAAACTAGGACAGTGCTTGATTACCTGAGCAGAGAGAAACCTGTTCGTGTGATCTGAAGGCCCCTTTGTTTTGATGGAACAGTCTGTTCTGCAGCCTGCTGGGTTTTTCCTCCTTTTTTAATTCCTCTGTGTCCGTGTCTTTGCTCTTATTATCTCGTCTTGGTCCCTCTCCACAGGAAACTCCAAACAAGCTCTGCGGTGTAAAACGTGCAAGATGGCCGCTCACCTGTGGTGCACCTCGGAACTGTCGCAGCAGCTGTGTCAGGGGAAGGTGCGAAAACACACACTGAATACAACACTCATTTGTAACACTGGTAATTTTTCTCATCATAGTCACTGAGCGAATGTCTTGGTTTTCTCAACTTTTTATCTGTCATCTGTGAATTGGCTGTTTCTATAATTTGGCAACTTCTTTAGTGCGAAGTAATCACTGCTGTGGTGTTTCTACACTGCACTTTACTTCAGACTGGGTCCTCTTAGGTTATATATCTATTCATTTTTGCTTTGGTTCTTAAATAAAACTCAGAACAAGGTTTCTGCTTGAAACCACTAAATATATAAGAGAAAAACATTTAAAACAACGCCACCTAGGGATATGGAGAGCCCCAGGACTCTTAAGCTACACAAAAGGCTACACAGGTTCTTTTAAAATTAGGGGTGAGTAGAGTTAACACCTCAACTGAAAGTATATTGAAAGAGGTTTATTATCGAAGAACATAATGACAAAAATGAAAACATCTCTTAATACTTATCACTAAATGTCCAATATTGTCTCTCAGTGGCTGAAACATTTTGTCCAACACAAATGTTGCACGTGTCCCAATTCAGGGGCCCCATCCTTCAGAGGCTGCATTTAAAAATTGATTGTATCACAGCAGTGAGAATGGGCTGTCCATTTCAAAGGCTCCTTTAAACGCTGCAGACAAATGTATTGTGAGCAACAAAGAATAATAGAAGAAAAGAAGAACGGGTATATTCATCAACTTGGTGGCAGAGCATTCATAAATGCAGCCTCTCAAAGTCGTTAATGATGCCATAGTAGGAGATGGACAAGCCGGTGATACAAATAGGAAATCCTCCGTGGACCGTTTGACTTCAGCTCGGCCTCAACTCAGCCTACGGAGGCCACATCTTCATTGACCAAGTAGAATGAGTTCTCTGAAGGATGCAGCCCCTGAACCCAGCTCATATGTATTTATCAATACAGTTTGTTAATTAACACCTTTTTTTTTTTTTTCAATCTCCACAAAACCCAAAGTGTCAAAACAATATTTAACCATTTAAGGGGAGGTTGCACGCTGGAGAATGTATTTATAGGTCTTTATAGTGGTAATGAACCCCGCCTAATCCTTTTAGAAACGTCTGAAGATTATAAGATTTGTGATGATAAATTAATTGTATTGTAAGGAAAGGAGAAACAACTTGCAAAAAAGTCTTAGAAGAATGATAATTCTACATCAAAAGAGAAAGTGGGATCATTTCTTTACAGCGATTAAGAGAATGAAAATGTGTCCTTATGGATATCTGTGTTCAATCTGAACTCCTTCTTTACCGACACAGTTTTAAAAGCCACATAATAAAAACACCAGCAACATTAAGTTTGTCTTACAGTAATCATTTGAATAATCTGAGCAGAAACTGGAGTTAGCAGTTACAATGGTGACTGAACCTTGATTTTTACCAGTGCTTAGAAATTAATTTGTTAATGTTTGAGGGCAAAGCCTAACTGCATTGTTAACGGTGGAAAAATTTACTGAAAGTGAAATGAAAGTGTTGAATAAGTCTTGTGTCGTATCACTGAGGCACATGCAAGATGGACGACATTACAGTTCCCTTCAAGTGAAGCCAAACAATCACCCCCTGATGGCTGGCTACAGTATAGGTCATAAACCCCAACTCCTCCATGTCAGTGGATGGGACGTGGACCAAACTAAAAAGTTTACATCAAAAAAAGAGGGTTTCTGTCATTTTAAGTAGATCTTATCAGTTCTCATAATGGTTTTAATTAGTATTATTATTTGATGCTGTAAAAATAAGGTGAAATGTCACGATCAACACCTGAGACTGACGTGTGATTGGTCAAGTGTGTGTAGCGGCTTCATCTAACGATCACTACTGTACAGACTCTGGCTCCAAAAACCACAAGATGGTGATACCTGTATTTAGGTTATTTTAGCTTCATTTTTGTACAAAGTCTATCTTTATAAAGGCCTACAGTTATCAAAAAATAATATGAATACTACACAATAATCTAAGATCACATAACTGATTGTTCAGAGTGAACTGTTTCTAAATAGGCCACAGGTAAACGTGGCCAGGCCTGGTTTTTAATAACTCTGCCACACTCTAAAAACCCAGTTAAAATTTATAGGGGGGATTTTCTCTCTTAAAAAAAGAGCCAACAACACCACCTATAGGTTTAGAATCTGAGCCTAGGACTCCATAAGCTTGCTGGTTAAAACTCAGGGGGAGTAAAAACAGGTGCCTATTCAATTCAATTAAAACTAATTTATCATAATAGAAAATAGGACATAAAACACCACTGTAAAAATAATTAACACAATTTTCTCCCATATTCTAAAAGAATAATAGCACTAAAAATGTAAAGGTTCAAAGAAGTGAGGATATAAAGCAGTTTAAAGACCATAAATGTATAACATATTTTTTACAACTTTTATCCTAAATCGATATCACAGTACATTATAAATCCTTTATCGATATAACTTTTAAAGGCAGAGTAATGTTCTACATTGGACATTACATCGTGGCATTTGTGTGCAGCCGACAGATAATTTGGAGAGATTTCCGTCCGGGGTTGTGTTTTTATCCTCCAGTGCAGAAACATTAGCATGCAGCAAGTGGCTAGACCCAAAGCACTGTTGAAGATGGCTCTGTGCTGTTTGATAGAGGAGCACAAAGAGGGAGAGGGAGAGAGAGAGGTGGGGGGATGATAAGGGAAGGGAAAAGGTAAAAATGTTATCTGTCCAGAATCTGGGCTTCGTTTCAGGGACCAAAAGGAGCCACTTATTACCTTTGGTCCTTAAAGTGTTTGTCTCTTCAGCCTAATGTGATAAAGTGAATGGCTCATTTGCAAGTCAAGTCAAGGCAAAGGCAAACCGATATCCAGCCGAAACACTTACTGTGCTTAATTCAGTGTGAAATTGCTATCGTGCAAACACACACACAGAATCACATGCCTGTGTGTAAGCCATGTGCATACAAGTAAGTGCCTGAGTGAATACATTGCTCTTAATTAGCAGCAAAGAGAGCTGACACTGTTTCTCCATTTGTAACTCTTTAGTTGCGGCATGTGTGCCTGCCTATGTGTTTCCATGTGTTTCCATGTGTTTCAATCATTTGTATTTCATTAATGTCTCTATACATGGAATCTACCTCCCCCCAACACAACCTATCAAAAAAGAAGTAATGGAAGCTGGGAAATAAAAACAAAAATCATTATTCTCTTTGCTCTCCTCCATTAGCCTGGAGCGTTCAAGCGTAACTTCAGCTCGCCGATGCTTGTCAATGACCAACTGGCTGTCGTCAAGGAAGTTCAGCCGAGCCAAGGTGAGATTACTCTGAGTGTCTGTGCTCGTGTACTTGTGCACTTGGTTTGTTTGCGCCCGTGTGCTTTCGTTTCGTCTTGTTGCTCTTGTCCCAGCCGTTTTCGGTTTATTTTTAGATTTTTGTTTTGTTTTGTGTGTGTGTGTGTGTGTGTATGCTTGTGCGTGTGCTGTAATAAAACCAGAACTGTCTCCATCTCACCTGACAACCGAGGAGCATGAAGTGGAAAAAGAGAGAGAGGGAGAACAAATTCAGCTTCTCTTGGAGGCTGACGGACACTCGGCACCCTGAAAGTATGTGAATAAATATTTATAAGTTCTAATGTTTATGTTTTTATATCTTTGTTTATGATTTGAATTGTATATGTATCCTTGGACCGAGGATGGTAATTCATCGTCTGACACTACGCCTCACACCTTTAAGGCTTTGTAAACATATACATACATAGAAGCAGGACTATTGGGCCAGTGTTGTAGCACTAATATTAAGGTGTGTGTGTGTATGGAGAGAGTTGTGCAGCTGTATATCAATCTGTGTATGTGTAATCAGATTTGTAAACGTGAAAAAGAATCTGCAAATGCGTGCTGAATTCTGTAAATGTGTATTTAGAATCTGTATGTGCATAATTTATTTGTAAATGTGGAAAATATCTGTAAATGTGCATAGAGATTTGTACATGTGCAGATAAATATGTAAATGTGTGATTATATCTGTGACTATATGTAGATAAATCTTTAAATGTCTACATAGATATTAATGGCCGCCTCACTGGCCACACCCCAGCTGAGGGTTAAAAAAAATGTTTCATACCTCTCCCACTGAGTCCAACAACTAAAAGAGGGGTGACACGCCCTTACGAGGAGGGGTAAAGGACTTTGCCAAATGTTCCACATTAGAACTTGGAGCAAAACACTTCAGCCATTAATATCTATGTACACATTTCTAGATTTATCTTCACATTTTCTGATCTGTGCCCACATTTACACATTTCTCTCCAAGTCTCAAGACACTTGCAAATCTTATTGCACATTTACAACATTTTATTTATTCATTTACAAATCTGATTATGCACACATCCATATACAGTTACACAATCCCCCCACATACACACTCAAGTAAATTCAATTACAATATTGGCCCCATACACCATCATTCTGATATTTCCTTCTAATTTAATTGTCTCTGGATACTAAAACACTCTGCTGTCAGATCCACTTGCCTTACATGTATCTGAATTTGTTCTTCCTCTGAACTGGAGCTTGTTTTACTTTGCCGAACCTCTGGATCATGAACTGTGTAGGTAGGTGACGTGCTCCTACATCTCCCAACGTCCTTGTGCTACCCACGATTCAGTTTTCGAGTAACCCCACAGCGCCACAATGCTTGGGACTCTGCCAGGGCAGACCGCACCCTGCCAAACTCACTATCTCCCATTGCAAAGTGTCTGTGTAATTATGCTGACAAAAGGCTCTGTGAAACGTAGAGAAGTGTTTGTCACATGGCAAATTTTATGATGGTATAGCTGCTATGAACCCATATTACAATAGAGTTCTCATTTTTGCTCTGAAAACCATGCTAAGGGTCACTGTTTCTGTAGAAAATAATTATTTGTGCAGAGAAGGCTCTGATTACTCTCTTGCCGTGCAATTAATTGCTCTGTGCAGGAGTAAATCCTCCACTGAAACTGCTACAATTAATTTAAAGTGTAAACTAGCTTCATTACCAATAAATACCTCTTCTATCGTCACACTTACTGCAAGATTTCTGTTTATCTGTCAGGGGCACAGAGGCGCTGACGTCAATACGAGGCAGCGAGTTGTTAAGGCTTCTCCCTCGTAGACACAAACACTCGCAGAACATCTGGCCTTGCAGTTAAAATCATTTCAGGGTTTCATTCAAAGTGTGTTGAGTTGGGTGTAGGAGAAAAAAAAAGGGAGCAGAAAATTTAATTCCTGATTTCAGAAATATTCTCCTCCAGCACTTCCATCTACATGAAATGTACCGATGAAGGCTCTCTGAGGATTTCCATATTTTAAATCACATCTCTCATTCCCTTTCTACTCAAATCCAACTCCAGATATATTGCAGCTATTAAAACGGAGACACATCCCTCGCCAATAAATGAATTAATAAGTAAGTCAAAGCGTGTACATTTATTGGGATGTCTTGATGTCTCCTTAACTTTTGGCTGCTGTCCTCTCCCAGATCTAAAGTGGGTCACTTTGGTCCAGAACTCACGGTGTTACGACTGTTATATTTAGACCTCTGGCTCCTCCAGATTGGCACAGGCACAACAATCATGATGTGCAGCCATAATTATAGAGCGTGTGGAGTATGAATCATTTATATGTGCGTTTTTAAATGAAGTGGATATGAGCGTGTGTGTATGTGTGTTAGTCTTATGAATGTGTGTGTGTGTGGTTTCAGAGGCTGTGCGGACACGCGTCGACCCTGTGTACGCTGCCTTGCGCTATGGGACGTCTTTGGCACAGATGACCCGCTCCAGTTTTGGCAGTTCAGAGTCACCGACGCGCAGCCTGGTATGACACCATCACCCAGAGGGAGGGTGGAGAGGAGAGTTGGACCCTGTGTGATTAAGACACACAAAGTTTTAAAGATGGTCCACTGGTTTAATTTAAGATTCAGAATGTTATGTCTATCCACATTAGATGATGTCAATTATCAGCAACACAAAACATTAAGTTTTGTCAATACACTTAAAACTAAATCAGAAAGGTTTTACCAACACATTTATTCCAGGAAACTATATTCACGTTCCTATAGGTTATACTATGTAGATTAAGAATATTGCTATATTTCCAGTACGAGTGCTGCCATGTTGCACATTAGGAACCAGAGTCTGCACAGTAGCGTTCAGGGGATGAAGCCGTGGCAGCGAGGTTCTGTCATTACACGCACTCAACCAGTCTCAGCTGTCAAACCCTATCAGAAACATGAACACTGAAACAAACATCAGTGTGATAAGAATAAACCGTCTTTGAGATAAAATGATTTGACGTGTGCTTTGACTTTATAGTTTGATCCATGTCAAGTCAACTATATATATAAATATATATATATATAAAGATAGATATATTGATGGACAGTTTGACGTGACCGGGTGAAAAGTTTGTCCAGGTCACCATAGCTAGATTTTCAGGGGGTTATGAGTGACTCTTTGAAACTCCGTCTCTGTTCTGAGGTCACAGTAGTTCCCTGCTGAGATCGACTTGATTGAAATCCTCCCTCCTCCACATATGGTAAAGAAATGTTATAATTGAGCACCAGGGTGTCGTCTATAAGAAGCCTAATGGATGGCACTGGTTTCCCTCATTAAACGTGGAGTTGAGCCTGTGTGCAAATCTTTTTCATACATGGAGTGCAGGTTCTCCTCCTGTGTGATGTGGGTTATTCAGAGCAGGAGCTTTGACATCCTGTGGCTAACATTTTATTTTATTTTTTTCTCCTTTGATAAGGGGGAGGGAGGTGAGGAGATGCAGCAGAGACAGTGCAGCATGGAGGAAGAGATAACTCAGGAGACAGGGGGTAAACGCCGCTGTGTGTCCGTGTCTCCGTCCATGTGGATGCGCTCTGTGTCTACGCTGCTGTGTGTCCATGCATATGTCGTGTTTACTTGTGCATGTGTGTGTGTGAGAGATTTACTGTCTGCGTGTGAAAAAAAAAAATTACATGCCTGATTGCATATGTGTGAGTGCTAAGAAAATGTCTCACCACCTTCAGACACAGCAGTGCCAGACCCTGAGTTTGAGAAGGAGGAGGACGAGAGCACGGGCGAGACTCAGACTCCTGTGGAAGAGAGCAACGTGACGGTACAGCTCTGTTTGATCCGCCTGTGCACACCGTCACCTGTTCTTGTTTTCTTCCTCAAGTGCGTATACCTGTCTCACTAATCCCCCCCCCCCCCCCCCCCCCCCCCCCCCCCCCCCCCCTGCATCTCAATGTGTCCAGGTGCCCAAGCGCATTGAAGTTCACTCCATCCACACCTATGTAGCGCTCTACAAGTTTCTGCCTCAGGAACAGAATGACCTGGAACTACAGTGAGTAAAAGCCAAACAGACTGCCAATGTGCAAGTATTTCCATAGCCTTGTGCACAGAGGGGTTTTCCTTTTTTTTTTTTTTCTGCTATTTTGCGTGTGAGTGCATTTGGTTTGTCTGTGTTTTTGCCCTGGCTGTTGTTCCTGCAGGATGAAAATGTCCCCACCATCTGCAGAGGACGGTACCAGGGCACCCTTAAGGATGACTAATTATAAACTCGGAGCCCATCACCGTCCCCCACGTAGAGGGAGCGACTGAGCCTTGTTCCCAGCAGGGAAGAGGATAAAAAGGCACTGAATAACTGAGAGATGAAAGGGCGGACAGGCATAGGAGGGGAGACGGCATAGAAGTAAAGATTATCATAGGCAGAGAGAGAGAGAGAGAACCTGGCAGAAAAAAGAAAATTGCAAATATAGAAGTAGTCTCTATAACATGAAGGAGCACGAAGAAAGACAAGATAGAAAGGACAGAGAAGTAAAAATTAGGGCAGGTGTGTGTGTGTGTGTGTGTGTGTGTGTGTGTGTGTGTGTGTGTGTGGCAGAAAGGTACATCTGTGAGACTGTTAAAAGCCATCTGTGCTTTGTACAGTGTACAGTAAATGAACTCCAGAAAGGATGATTGTGTCAGTTTGATAAGTGCAACTGTGTAAGAATATTTGCAGTCAAGATCAGACAGAAGTTTCTTCAGAAATGTGTCTGTATTTGGAAAGATTATAAAGTGTTTGTGATTTGTTGGTGCGTGAACTCTGACCCAAATTGATCACATCTAACGTGCACTCACTGGAAACGATAAACATGATTGTCGCCCGCTGAAACATCTTCCAGCTGCTCACTTGATTTAGAAATTTGGTTTTACTTTGTCACGTTGCCCCCTTTTTTACGCAACATGGAAATGACTCCACCATCTGTACCGACAACGCGTCTTCTGCCACCATTTTCACTAGTTTAGAAAAAAACTTGACCATTTTGTTAGCACCATCCATGTTCTTATTTTGGACTGCATCATGCCATTATTGTCAGTGTGGACGCACTTCTGCACTCAAAACAGCAAGTGTGAGTCTGGAAGTACATAAACTGAAACACAGCATATGTGTGTGCACATGGGCCAGATTTTAGAGGTTGATTAAGACAGAAATCTGTTACTTTTCCCACTTAATAAAAACGCAGAACCTTGTTTAATCTTTTGTCCTGCAGTTTTAAGTTGTTGGATAAAGTAGCTAGGCTAATCCCACCAACATTAACCCTTACAATTCCACATGGAGAACTGAAAAGGCACAAAATTAATCTAAAATCATCAAGAACTTAAAATAAACAATATACACATGTTTTAAGCCCTGCTCCTGGGAGAAACATCAGTGAGCAGAGTAATTACACTTCAGATATATGGGTCTCACTCTAATTGGTAAGTGAACTATGTGGAAACTAAACTAAAAATGAGGGCGCGTGCGTGTGTGTGATGATCATATAGGGCAGTTGTGGGAGAAAGCATCTGAGGGACACAACATACAGATTTGCAATTGGGACAGCAGTTTCCCCCTGTATATCTAGGACAGTGGATAAAAACTGTGCTTGTGTGTCTGTGTGTGTGTGTGTGTGTGTGTGTGTGTGTGTGTGTGTGTGTGTGTGTGTGTGTGTGTGTAGACATTTCATCAAAAGCAGGTAGCATGATTAGCATGCAGGCCAGGTTGGCAACAGATCCGGTCCAGCCTTGTCCACTGCAGCAGGGCGCCACAGAGTCATATTTCACGTAGACCTCATGACTTTGGTATCGGCCGCTCTGTCACCTCCGCTGAGGGACACAGACTCGTCCACCTCGACCTCTACGCAGCTTTGTAACTGTGGATACCACCACTTGAGTTTGATAACGTTATCTTTTGTCCTCACACTCATGTCTCTGTATTTTCTTTTTCCTGGTGACCGCTCTCGCCCTCTCCCATCCCCAAGTACCCTTTTCCTCTCCACCTCAATCACCTCGTCTTCATGCCTCCTCTTTTTCATCTCCTCTCTTGTCTGATCTCTTGTAGTCCCGGGGATCGGGTGCAGGTCACAGACGACTCCAATGAGGAGTGGTGGAAGGTGGGTAATAAATCATTTGCAAACACGTGTGTGTGTGTGTGTGTGTGTGTGTGTGTGTGTGTGTGTCTTTGTGTGCTCATTGGTTTGTATTGGTTGTGCTCATGGATTTTTCTTTTCTTCAGTCCATATTGTGTATTTAAATCTCTGAAATGTGTGTGTGTGTGTGTGTGTGTGTGTGTGTGTGTGTGTTTGTTTGTTTGTTTGTTTGTTTGTGTGTGCATGTGCTGATGGATTTGTTTTCTTCAGTACATGTTGTGTATTTAAACTTCTGATATGTGTGTGTGTGTGTGTGTATGTGCCTGCATGGTGCGCATGTGTTAATTCAATTCTTTATTAAGCCTTTAATTCTCGACACCTGCTCTATTTGATCCTGTCATAAACATGCAGGCAGTCACAGACAGAAATAGAACACAATTTCCTCAGAAAATTAGCAAAAGAGTTTAACATAATGAACTCGACTCGTGTTGCAACCTCAAAGAGCTTATTAATGGTTCCGTTACGAGCGTCACTCACTCCCAATGGAAACAAATGTGCTTCAATGTGGCTGTGTGTCTGTAGGTTTCAGTCTCAGACAAAAGATGCACTCTCACTTAACTGAAGAGCACAGTATGTGTATTTCGGGGTGAAAGTGAAGCTGCAGTCACTTTATTAATAATCAACACTCCAGTTCTTTAAATTTAAACTATGAATAGTTTATGAATCACTTCAATAAACACCCAACACCTGAGGACGAAGGCAATAAATAATGAATTATTGCTGCATAATGAAACACCATCAGCTTTCACCAGCTAACTAGGATGTCATTCAGTAGAGTGCATACCTGTGCCAAGACCCAGTCCCCTTATGAAACCACATTTATATTCATTAAGTCCAGGTTTCTATTTGGATCTGCACCAAATTGCACACGCACACATAATTATCAGTGCCTGGAACTGGCCTGATTATTCAAAATCCTAACAAACAAAGAAACGCGGATGAAAATATAACGTCCTTGGCAGAGTAGGTTCATATTCTTATTCCAGTTTTACTTGTGCTATGTGTACGTTTTCTCTGCTGTCGGATGATGTTTCTCGCAGAAGTGGGCGTTGATGATCGCTCGCCAAGAGCTTCAGCCATTGTTGTGTGTTCAAGTCAAGGCTATGGAGCACTCGAACGTATGTGTTGCTGCAAAGCTTGGTGGAGGTGCAGTCGTCAACAACAACCAGTTTCCAGCAGCAGGACACACAATATAATTGTGCTAATAATACTGGCAGGTCCATACATCATGACCTGGATTCTTATTAACATGATTTGATTGGCTCATGCCTGATGCTTTAGTATTCGTTTAAACAAGATCTGATTGGCTGGTGCTTGTGCTGCCGCTTGAAGAGTCGAAGTCACGAACGTACCGGAACCAGAGTGCAGTTCAGCAATGCCTGACATCACCACACTCAAAGGGAATGGGCAGAGTTTCTTTGAAAACTGTGACGCATGTGCAGCACTACAGTGTCTCTCTATTCAAAGAAGACTTGAAGTGGAAGGGAAGAGGTGATAGAAATAGATAGGTGATCGAAGCAAAACAAGAGTCAACTGAGGTGTTGCTTTCCACAACTTTGGAGAATACAGGACTTAAGTTTGATGCTGAAGTTGCAGCATATTGGTTTGTTAAGTTAGCAGCTGTTTATGCTAATGTCAGCTAAGTAACAACAATCTTACACGTAGCTGAAATTATTTATTTTCTTCATTTCAAAACAATGATCACTGTTATTTCTGTAAGAATGGTGCCTATTTGGTTCTATTACTAAATAACAACAATAACTGTTCTAAAATGTGTCATTTAGCCATTTCAGAATCACCTTTGTCAAAACTAACCTAATTAATCTATGTTGATAACTGTGTGCTGTTCCTGTGTGTTCCAGGGAAAGAGTGGCGACAGAGTCGGTTTCTTCCCTGCCAACTTTGTGCAGAGGGTCCGTCCAGGAGAGAGAGTGTGGCGGGTCGTACAGAGCGTTAACGCCAACCGAGAGAGAGGACACATGGCCGTCAGGGAATCCCAGGTACAAGAATATTATCATGCTGTTCTGTTATTTTAATTAATTTATTTTTTGTGCGTGTTTGCGTTCTTTATTTCTTCATATATGTTACAATCATAAGGCGTAAACTGACAGTTTGGGAACCTGTAGTCACCTCGCTCAGTGTGAGATCTTAAGATTCTATTTGTGGTATTATCCTGTGGTCGCAGGAGGCTGCAGCCTGTTCCAGTACTCACTGGCTGAGAGGCAGGGTACATCCTGCTCAGGCTGCAATCAGAGTGTGATCAAAGCATGGCCTCAAACATTGTCTCTGTGTCATCTCATATCACTTAATAACAATTTTCCATTTTCACACAACCAGAACTTGTATATTTCTCTTGAGCACAAGTCAGAAAATTTTGAACAAAAATGAGAAAAGATACAAATGAGCTGCTAATGAAATCCATTTGTTGTGCAAATGCAAATGAGCTGCATGTTTATTAGTTTTGCTGGCAGCACCCGTTCACATTTACACATTTTAGAGAATGATTAATACACTTAGTCACACAATATTCTACAGACAACTGAATATGATTGTTGGTTATTTTCTCAACATAACCTGACAGCTGCTGAGAGTGCGAGTCAGATCGGCCTTCTGATTAATTCCTAATCTGAATCCAAGCAAAACAGTTTGCATGTATTTTACATCAAGAACCAATTATTCAGTTAATCCTGACATCTTCCACAAATGTCTTTGTCTTTCTGTCTGTCTGTAACTTATATTTCACTTCACGTCCTCTGAAATGGCCGGCATACAATTTATTAGAAAAACAATACCAGTGGAATACATTTTTCACACTTACATATAAGCCACTATAAATGAAGAGCAATAGAGCAAATTCAGTTTCATTTTATGAAAAACATTGACTATAATGTCCTCACTTCAAATAAACCAGATCCAGTATCCAGTATTTTCCGGTATCTCTGTCAGACTAAAGTCCAGCTCTGCCTCCTCCCCTTCAGATCTGTGTGGGGAAGCGAGAGGACGGCGAGGTGTTTCTAAAGCTGAGCAGTGGGAAGAAGAGAGGCCTGGTCCCAGCTGACTCCATAGAGGAGATCTGAGCTTCATCCTTCCACTTCTACTTTACCCACCACCACATCTTCAAACTATTACCAACACCACTTCTTCCACAACCTCCTCTCTGCAAAAAAAACTAAAACAGCTGCGGCCTCTTTGGCCAGTCCTGACTGAGACCAACCTGGACAGAAAGCATACACTTCTGCAAAGACCTGGAAACGCAGCCCCCGATGGACGCATGGTTTCCAGTTGAGTTGGTTTGCTATTAGTCTTTAATAATGAATTGTACAGTTATGCAGCATAGTCCTGCTTTTACAAAGGGACTGTTTCTCAGCTCTTCTCCTGCTGTCAGTTTATCTGTTAACACACAAAAAATAAATCAATGTTTAGTCAGACAAAGTGTGCACAAGCCAAAAATGCTCTGCATCTATTTGCTTGGATGCTTGTTCCGATTTTGTTTTTCCTAATCAAAAAGGACGTCTACCAATGTGGGAGGAGGTGCCGTTCTGTCATGGGAACATGATGCTACTGTCAATGTCCTTTTCTTCTTTCTACCCACTCTGTATGTCTCATCCCTGTGCGCTCGTGTCAGGGTATGTGGCCCCAGGGATTGATATCAGCTTCGTGCAAACTGGTGCACATGTAACCGGCCAAGGACAACCACTGCCAGCCAGAGTAGGTTAGTTTTTGTTTGCCGGGAGGACACACAATGCAAAAAATCCTCTGTAGTGACAGCCTGTTTGTGAACAGCCAACTTGAGAGTGCAGAAATTAGAAGATTTTCAAAGGAGAATTGGACACTGTGAAGATCTTTTCACAAGGAATTCAAAACTTTTTTTCACCCCCAACTTTTTTAGGATGAAATTACAATGAAAGTATGGTGTGAAAAATGCATCTTCACCTTTAAACATAAATCAGCCAGAGGACCCCGTGTTCCAGAGGAAAACAAATGGAAGAAATTAAGAACGTTTTTGCAGAACTAATTTTGCCCTTTACAACTCTCAGACTTGGGAACTGAAACTTTTTTTTCTTGAATGACTCAACCATAGAGGAATAAACATTGAGTCACACAGCAGTTTTTTCGAGGGTTTTCATTTTATCGTCTTGTTTTCAACAAAGGAAGGAAGGGAGGTGAAACTCCTCGAGTGTCGCGGTTACATGTGGCAGAAGCCGTTTCCCTGTTTTCACACAAAAGGAGCACAGCAGTTATAAAAAAAGGAGGGAGGCCGGTTCCTGCAGAGACCTGCTGAAGACCAACAGAGAGTGTTGCACAGCATCGTTACATGTTCAAACAACAGGAAACAAAAGTCTGCCAGAGAGAGAAAAAAAAATTAAAATAAAAACAACAGAGAGGTTTCTGGCTGTGACAAGGAGGACAAGTTCCGCTTACAGCTTGGAGGAGGACACAGGAAAACAGAGACAGTAGGAGATGCAGCAAGATGTGGAACGTTGTGAGTGTGTTATGAGTCAGTGTGTGCACGCAGGTAGTGTTGTACCCTTGGGTTCACGAGTCATCATTGATCAAATGTCAGCCCGTCGTCTCCATCTCTCTCTTCCTCCTGATCGTGATGTGACTGATCAGCTCTGACATAAAGCGGAGGCATTTTTTTTCATGCATGTTCGATGTTGGTTTGTAGACTTCTTTAGCGATTCATGAATTCATTAGTAAATGTGATGCATTTCTTTCCAGAGAGAGGAACTGCACAAGATCACAAGCATTAGGAAAATGTCTAATGCAAGCACCGAGTGTAAGTAAAACGATGGTACCACAAAATATAAATAACTGAACTCTTCTTTTCCAGATGAAAGAGATCCAGCTGATATTATCATCCTTTAATCTACAATTCAATATAAGACCCTTAGAGGCTGTTACAAATAAACGTCTCTTCTTGTAATAAGGACAATGACACTTTATTTTGTGTCATTTCCTTCATAGCAGCTTCCTTCTTAAGTCGAATTGTGGTTTGATGTTTTATATGGCAGCAAAAAACATCACTGGAAAAAAATTTGTGTCCGAGAAGAACTGGATAAAAAATTTTTACCTGTAAAAACACTTTGTTATCTTGCATTTCGCTTCGTTTTACGCAAACGTCACATAGGATTTCAACATTTCAAGTATGTGTTAGGATGTTTTTCCCAAGCCCAGAGTAAATAAAAGATCTTTACAAAACTCTCTCTGCCCTTCTTATGTACGCAGTCTGTCACACAACACGCAGCTGATCACCTAGGTCTGTACAACAGGAGGCAGATTGAAAACACTGAAGATAAAAATGGCCCTCAGAAGAGAACGTACATCGCCCAAAGCCCCAACAGTCCCCTTACGCAACCACTTAAATTCACTAATCATCCGCATCCTTATTTAGATCTGCACCAAATTGCACACACTCATAAATGTTCGTCTTCTTTTCAACAAGATCCATGAATCATTCTCCAAGAAATGTTGCAAAGTGAACTATCACACAATGTTAAAGAAAGTGTAGAATAGAATTCCTGGAAATCTTTTGTGGGTTCTTCCTTGGCCCATTTCACATCCTTCCACCAGGTTTTGTGAAAATAATTTGGGTAGTTTTTGTGTGATCTTGCTTTCAAACAAGGGACAGCGAAGGTGAAAAGTGAGACCAAGGCTTTCTTAAATTGTGTGAATTGTAGTTTTCTTTACCCCAGAAAAGGCCCTTTATATTTAAATACTTTATATTTACATCGAGGGGACCCTCTCTACGGAGGCCGCCATGTTTTTTACATTAACATTAATAGTCAAGACTGGACAAACTAAACACCTTTTGAGTTTTTATGACAACTAATGGCTACCCACAGGTCCTTTTTCACTTTTGGAAGGGGAGGGTGAGGTGAGGGGTGTTCAGCTGCAACATGCAATTTCAACACTGTACCTTTAAGGAAGTCTCTACTGCACGTATTTTATTTTTGGGTGTATAATTCAACACCAACGTACGAAAACAATAACACCACTTGACTAATGAAGCGGTTGAGTTTCGGCGTCGACATTCGCCGCTACATACCTCTATTAACACTTGACAGCGCTGCCCATCTGCTGTGACTCAGAGCACAGTGAGTCCTTTCAAGCTGTTGAAACTTTGCCAGTGTGTCAGAGCTCTGTTGAACGGTTCCATGTTTCTCTCCCTCCTCCAATCCTCTCATTTCATTTCTCTGGCTCAGGCTGCCTCTCTCCCGCAGCCTCCTTCTAACTCTTACTCTACAGAAGTTGACACAGACCCTGGCGCTCTCCTCTGTCTCTCGCCGTCTCTCTTAATCTTCTGGCTCTCCTCCCTTGCCTCTCTCCCCTTGAGTTCCCATCGTCGCTTCATGCGGACGTCTCTCTTCCTGCATAAGTCTGGCTCTGAGCTGCACTGGTGCAACACGCGAGGGACTGGCTGTCTACTTGCTCTCCTCTTTTTCTTCAGCCCTTGTTTTGACATTATCTATAATTAAAGTTGAGGTGAGGATGCTCTGTTTGCACTCACCTCACCTGATTGGATTTCTAAGAAAAGATGGAAAAGCTGCTGAAAGTGAAATGGCCTATTAGTAACGTCTCATTTCTGCTGGCTGCCTGGAATCCGCTTGGCCATGATGTCGACTTTCTAATAAAGCAATAGGATGAGGGGGAGCAGGCAATGAAGGCCTGATGGTGTAAATGTGGTTATTTCTGAAATCTGGCCCCGCGTCACATCCACACACCCTGCAGGGCTTCGCTTGTACTCCTGTAAAATAAATGTCCGCCGCCATTATTCAGAACGTCCCCAGCAGTTATTATTGTGTCTCATGACCTTTCGAGGTGCCTTCGAGCAAAGTGTCACGACTAACTGCCTCTGTGCTTTCTGTGCAGGTGAACACAGGGCCGCAGCATCAATAGTCAGACAGAGAGACAAAAAGGAAAAAGAGAGCGAGAAAGAGAGAGAAAAAGAGAGAGAGAAAGAGAGCGCTTCATCTGCTGCACTGAACATTGTGTTCCTCGTCTTTTATCTCTCATCCGTGCCGTTCTTTCTGTTTAACGTCAAGCTGTTTGTGCTGTGTTTGGCAGCAGCTTCCAGTGTGGTCTGGGTATGGACGAGAATCTCTATACGAGAAGAAGGAACAACCTAAACCTAGTTTTCCTTGACAGCTGTGAGAGAGTGGCTCAATATCTCCCTGCTGTGAGCAGCTTGGTTAAAGGTTCAGTCTCTTAATGATTCCTAGTGGAAATCTTACGGTGACAGGGTAAACGCTGAGTTATTACAGAGGGTGTGATGAGTCACAGATTTTGATAAGGATATCTGTTGCATTAATTGAAAAAATGTAATTTCCCGAGCATCAGTTTTTGCAATGTCTGCGCCAGTGATTCCACAACTGGATGAATAAATGTGATCAAGTTTGGGGCTGGATCAATGACCTTATGACATGCCAGCCCCAAAAGTGAAGCCAAAACTAATGGTTTAGTTTAACCCTAATGGTTGCCTGCGGTATAGATCCTAAACCCTGCCAGCACCATGTTAACAAATGGGACATGTGTTGCATTTATTTTGTCTCAAAATTATAATCATAATTGTGAGGAAGCATTTCTATTGTGCAAGTGCACAGAACAGTATCCTTAAGCATAGAGGCGCACACGTGAGCAAATCCCTGACTGGATTTTTGTGTCGACCGCAGTGGTATCTATGATCAACGAAGTTTAGAGAGGTTAGAGGGAAGAGGGTTAGAAGGTCAGATTGATAGATAGCCACTGTCTCACTCTCGTGTTTGCTTCTCCGCTCACAGATACAGTTCTGTGCACTTGCACAATAAAAATGCTCCCTTGGTTTTGCACAAGCACGGATGTGATTTTTTTAAGTGTGCAAATTTGAGACTAAATAGACTTGGACCAAAAGATGGTTTCTGTCATTTTAGGCAGTTCTTATCCCAGTAATATGAGTCCAAGAGTTCATGTTCACTGTACGTTTGGTATGCTATAAAAATGTGAAACATCACGATTGGCAGCTGTCACTGACTTGCAAGAATGTCTATCATTAGGACATAGATACCCTGTTATCAGATATTTGCACCATGAGATGTCATCCAGGATATTTTGGCTTCATTTTTTTCTGTGAGAGAAAGTGGAGCTGCGTTGTCCATATTTATGGCCAGGAGTGGGTGGGACTGACTGTAGCTCATGACTGCCTGGTCAGTATCCTAAATAAATGATTTATACCACTAGATAGGAAAATCAGGAAAATTCATAGCTAGTGCAATTCTAATGGCTCCCATTCAATGCCATAACACCCCAGAAGTAACTAATTCTGTATTTTCAATGCTTACTTTTAGTTTTTATACAAAAATCCTACATTTTAAGATAAAAAAATGTGTTTTTCCCACTCAAATACTCTCAATACACTTGAGGACAGCTGTAATGATTATCAGCAACAGATCTGGTCAAAGTGATTTCCAAGTAAATTCACAAAAATGGCAAGTAAACCACATAAAGTAGGTCACGTTTAAAATCCTGAGCAAAACATATTTCATATTCACCACCCACCAGAACACAAACAGGCGCAAGCTCACACACACTCACACACTCAGGCTCTCCCCTCCCTGGTATTTATTTTTATAAGTATATGCAATTTTCACACGTTCTGTTTCTAGAGGGTGGAAGCGAGCGATTATCGAAGCAAAGCAAACAATGACAAAAACAGATGTCAGGGGAAACCAATCGCAAAAATAGAGCTGGTTAAATGAATAGTCCCTCTAAGAATAGCAGGTAATCACAGGTTGGTAAAACACACACAAACCCACACACACGCACGCATGGGTCACTGATACCAGCTGACAGGAACATAAAGCATTATTTCTTCAGCTGTGAATACAACATATCATTACCTTTTTCACTTCACCCACACAGGAACAAATGCAGCGCAGTATCTGTCACACACACACACACACACACACACACACACGTTAATAAACATACAGAATGGGCAGACTGAGAAATAGAAACAAAAAGCAATTTACAATGCTGTCACATGTATGTGGAGAACGCATGGCACAGAGGCGGGTTTGAAGTTATCATCTCGCTGCTGCTTTACATCCCCACTTCCACTTCTGTTCTCGTTTCCTCACTGTATCGCACATGACAGAGGAGGAAAAGCCAAGCGAGACAAATGCCAACAGTGGAAAGACTTGTTTAATAAAACAACCACGATGACAACCTCGAGGCTAAGGTGCATCCAGTCCAGAAAATGAACACATTTGGAAAATAAACAAAATCCAGGCCGTCTTAACCAGGACTATATATCATGCTCTTCTTTCTCTCCCTCACCACTTTAAAACAAAGCTTGTAGAAGACATGATACTGGATTTCTTTGCAGTTACGTGGCGTGTAAATCTGGGATTAAGGAGTGCTGTGTGAGAAAGCACCAGAGAGCTATCAGACGGATAAATCAGATGTTTTGGGGGAGGGAGACTGGACCACTGGTCAACTTTGCTTTTAAGAGAGAAAAAGAATAAACACCATCACTCATGTGTCTGGTAGATTGTTTGCTCTGCTAGTCACAGTGCTTACAGTTGAGCATGAAACATATTGAGCGACTGCTCAGGTCAACGGCTAAAGGATAAGAGCGTCTTCCAGATGCATTTTTAAAAAATATTTTGCACGCATATTTCTGGTAGGATGTTTGCACATGGAACTGGAGGACAGTGTTGGATATTTCATTATTTGTTTCCTTTCCTCCAGGCAGTGGTTGGCACTGTTGCCTTACAGCAAGAAGGTTCCCGTATCGAATCTCGATTCTGACTGGATCTTTTTGAGCAGAGTTTGCATGTTCTCCCCCGTTTCCAGGTACTCTGGCTTCCTCTCACCAGTGGGGACCTGTCCAGGATG